GGAGCCCCGGAGAGAGAGCGCCAGGCGCGGCTGGAGTTCAAGAGCCGAGGGGTACGCTCCGGCATCTCCAGGAACTTACCGCGTAGGCGCACGTTAAACCCAAAGGAAAGGCGAGGACGCTCCTGGCTCGGGTCCGCGTGGCAATTTGCGCGCCGCAGGGTCGGGGGACTCTGCAAACGAGTCCAGGTCTGTGACCTCGGCTGCCCTGGGAGTAGACCCCGCCGCGCTGCCAGGTTCCGATGTGGTCTCAGAGTCTTTAGCCAAGTTTGGGACGCTCTCAGAACTTGGGGACCCCTAGGTGGTTAACTCGATTACACACGCTGAATGACCTCTCCTGGAGATGATTCAACTGGGGGGTGTAACTTTTATACATTTAAGAATAATGTTTGGGAAGATTATGTAATGACACGGGAAATGCAAAAGTCGCAAAGAAATTCTGATCTCAACTCTGAAAATAAAGGAATTTTTTTAAATGGAAAGAAATGCACCAAAACATTTACAGTAGCTATGGTGATAGAGTTATGGATTTTTGTTTTCCTTGTAATTTTCTGGTTTCCCAGATTAAGTATTTTATAATCAAGTAAGTATTTTTTAAATTTTATTGATTGATTGATTTGAGAGAGAGAGAGAGATCAATTTGTTGCACTTATTTATGCATTCATAGATTGCTTCTTGTATGTGCCCTGACCAGGGGTGGAATATATACCTTGGTGTATGAGGAGAATGCTATAATCAACTGAGCTAACCAGCCAGGGCTCAAGTAAGTATTTTATAATCAAGAAAACGTTATTTTAAAACAATGCTTTTTTGCCCTGGCCAGGTGGCTCAGTTGGTTGGAACATCCTCCCTCCCATATACCAAAAGGTTGCTGGTTAAATTCCCTGTCGGCTGCCTAGGGGCAACAGCCAATGGATGTTTCTCTCTCCCTCCCTTCCGATATCTCTAAAAATCAATGAAAATATATCCTTTGGGTGAGGATTAAAAAAGCCCAATGCATTTTGAATTAGGACTTCAAAATAATTTTTTATTTTTTTAGAATAATAGCTCCAAAATTAACTACAAATTAGTAATAGTATTCTCTTGGCTTTCTTAGGAGCTGGTGTCATGACTCTCAAGCCAAGATTTTCCTAAGGTAAGCAGATAGGATTCCTATGTGTACCTAAGAGTCGATCTAAAATTACATTGGAACTATTCTATACAAAAGGAGTAACCTCAACGTTTGAGGGGTAGATAGAACACTTCTGAATTATTTTGATAATTCAATCCAGTGAAGGATCTAAGGCAGCCGTGGGAAAACTACGGCCCGCTTGAAATGAATAAAACTAAAAAAAAAAAAGACCGTACCCTTTTATGTAATGATGTTTACTTTGAATTTATATTAGTTCACACAAACACTCCATCCATGCTTTTATTCCGGCCCTCCAGTCCAGTTTAAGAACCCATTGTAGCCCTCGAGTCAAAAAGTTTGCCCACCCCTGATTAAGGTCTATCTTCATCACCTCAAACCCCAACAAAGGAAGGGTCCCCCTTTTGTAGCAAAGGTGTCCGAGCACTTATCCCTCTGAGTGACTGTATATATTTACCTTTTTCATTATTGTAATTGTTTTTGTCTGTCTCCTATGAGAGTTCAATAATAGCTCCAAGAGCAGGGAACACACCTGTATTTATTCCTCTTGATGGCCCAGATTTAGTAAAATGCCTGATATATAGTGATTTCTAGATAAGTATTTGTTGAGTGAATGTAAATGTCTAACTAACTTAATGTGTTTTAATTGGGAAGATTAATAAAAAAAATAAATGAAAATGCACAAAATGTAAATGTACATACCAGTGAATTATCACAAATACAAAGTAGAACCCCGCTTAAGAAATGAAATATTTGTCAGCTCTTTAGAAACTTCTCTTGTACCCCCTCCCAGTTACTAACACTTTCTTCTCCCCAAATTAACCACAATCGTGACTTACTACACTATGGTTTATTTTTAACTTTATATGAATGGAATCGTTTGCTCAAATTTATGTTTGTGAAATTCAGTTTGGTGTGTGTTTGTGTGTGTGTGTGTGTGTGTGTGTGTGTGTGTGTGTGTTGTTGTTGTTGTTTTTGGATAACTCTTTTGGTGCATCAATTTTCCCCCATATGAGTATCCAGTTGTCCCAGCACAAGCTTCTTTCCTCACTGCTCTGTAATGCTACTTCTTTTGTGGAATGAGTGTCCATACATGTGTGGGTCTGTGGGCCCTCTAGTCTGTATCACTGACTCAGTTGTCTATCTGTGCCAATACCACATTGTCTTAATGAAATAGCTTTATAATAACTCTTTATATTTATTTATTTAAGTATATTTTTATTTATTTCAGAGAGGAAGGGAGAGGGAGAGAGAGATAGAAACATCAATGATGAGAGAGAACCACTGATCGGCTGCTCTTGAACACCCCCTACTGGGGATTGAGCCCACAACCCTGGCAGTTGCCCTTGACCAAAACTAACCCAGGACTTTTCAGTCCGCAGGCTGACGCTCTAACTGAGCCAAACCGGCTAGGGCATATACTAACTCTTTATATTTAATGGTACAGGTCCTCTCACTGTGTTCAACAGGTTCTTGGCTGTTCTTGACTTCCTGTACAAACTTGAGAATCAGCTTGTTACTTTCCATAAACTGAGATTTTGATTTTGAGTGCATTATATCTATAGATTATTTTTGAAAGATAGCGTATTTGTGATATTGATTGAGTCTTCCAATTTATGAACATGAAATATTCCTCCATTTACTTGGGTCTTCTTTAATTTCTCAAAAATTTTATAGTTGTCTGCCTAGAGGTCTTGCACATATTTCATTAGATTGATTTCAAGGTGTTTGTTTTTTATGCTTTTATAAATTATTCCTTTTTTAAACATTTATTTTACTGACTGTTGCTATTATAGTAAAATTAATTTTATATTTAATCTTGAACAGATAAACTTTGTTAAAATCTTATTCTAAGGATTTATCTGTTCATTATTTAGGATGTTCTGCATAGCCAACTATATCTTCCATGAATAACGAGTTCTATTTCTTCCTTTCTAATCTTTATATCTTTTATTTCTTTTGCTTGTCTTATTGCATTGGTTAGGACCTTTAGTACAAAAGGAAGTGACAATAGTGGGAGTTGTTTTGTGGATTAAATTTTGTCCCCCCAAAAGATATATTGAAGTCCTAAACCTCAGGATCTGTGAATGTGGCCCTAATTGGTAAGAAGCGTACAAGAAAAATGTTTAAGCTACATACAATAACATTTGTTGCATCTAAATCAATGGCCTGAGAGTATCGCATGGGAGACTCAGCTCGCTGAGAAAGATTCCGGAAGGGAAATCTAACCTTGAGTTCCTACAAGGGACATAGTACCTTGCATACAGTATTCCCTTTACACCTGTGAGGTAGGTATTGTTAGAAACAGATAAAACTGAGGAGTGAAAATTCATCTGAAATTTTAACATACATGCTTCTATAAAATTCAAGTACGATGGAAATTTTACAAACAGTTAACAAAATGAGTGGTCAAAATAGTTAATTTAGGGGATGTGGAAGCATAGGTAGATTTGAGTATGATAATTGGGAAGTGATGAGAAATGGCAAGTAAGTGTATGATTCTTTTCTTTTTTATATTTTATTGATTTTTTTTGTTTACAGAGAGGAAGGGAGAGGGATAGAGAGTTAGAAACATCGATCAGCTGCCTCCTGCACACCCCCTACTGGGGATGTGCCCACAACCAAGGTACATGCCCTTGACCAGAATTGAACCTGGGACTCTTCAGTCCACAGGCCGACGCTCTAGCCACTGAGCCAAACTGGTCAAGGAAAGTGTATGATTCTTGTACAGTGAAATAGGAGATTGCTTAAACATTGATTATATTCCAAAAATTAGGGAAAATCTATTTATGCAATGAAGCCTAGCTCTACAAAACCCTGATGCTTCCTACTTCACACTGCATCAATCCGAGTGTGGATGTGTCTATCTTAACAGGTCAGGCAACTTTTTAAAAAAAAATTCTTTGGAGACAATATGTTATTAAATTGATCTGTATTTTCATGTTCTCTCCTTGTCACTGTTATTTACTATTCACCAACACTGCCAAGTTTTAAACAGTCTTGGTGTAAATGTTTGTTTCTAAGCCTTTGCTGATAGATGTGTTTTAGCTAACAGTTATGGACTCCATCGACATGCAGCACTAAAACACAAAACGAAACTAAAGAGATTTATCAGCATATGAAATGCCCTCACCAGAGACAGTTGAAATAATAAATCCAAAGTCGAACATTTGTGAAGTTACTAGGAGCATGTTTAACTACTTCAAATCATGTTTTGTGGGGCTGAATCATGCCATATATTATGCTTAATTTAAAAGGTGAAATGCAAATTGATTCTCACTTATTGGTAAGGACTTCTCATTGTGTTTAAGGAAGCCCTACTCCTGTAGAAGAGAAGCATTCCACTTTAAATACTTCTCTGACATTTGCATTCTTGGTTACAGAAATTGCCTGAAAGATTTTTTTTTTAAAATTGGGAATTTGGGAAATTTCAAGTTGTTAGTATTTTTAAGTGACATTAAAAGACTTCCAGCATTACTGTTTTTACAAAAACATCCAATTCTGAGTCCAGTTGCTGGTAGTCTAGGGGGCAATTTTTTCTTGGCTGCAACTTGAGATATAATTAGCATCCTCACAAATAAACATTCCCCCCCTCCACAAAAAAAAAAAAAAAAAAAGTTGGCCAAGTCGACTGGTGGCATCTATCTCCTCATTAAAACATCAGCTTGACAAAGTCCATGTGTGACTCTGTTTCAGAAAGTTCCAGGTCTTTTAAACATTGGCATTCTTATCATTTTGTGCTGGGTGCGCTGGCCACGGGCTAGCAGTGTCTGTGTGGATTTCTCCTTGAATATCTTTTCTCCATCAACTGATAAGCCAGTCGCTCCTAGGAATTCTGGTCACAGCACTGCTTAGGAAAGAAAGCCGATAGCACATATGTGAAATTGTTACAGAAAACATTCCTTCTTTTCTTGTGTTTTTTTTTGTTTGTTTGCTCGTATTTGGTTGTTTGTTTGCTTGCTTGCTTGTTTTTCCTCTTTAAAGCTAAGTCTAAAGGCCACTGAGCTTTCAGGCTGAGATTGTTGGGGCACTAGAGTGGCAGATTAACATAGAGAGAAAAGGCACTGCTATCACAAATATAACCTGTATTCACTGTCATGGGCCTATAAAATTAAAGTCAAATATAAGATAAACTGCAAGCCACTGCTTTCATGTCAACCTATACAAACAAGCTATTGCATTATTTTAGGAGGGAAAACCAAATTCTTAATTGCTTCTTAAACATGTAGTTCTAAGTATGGGCCTATTATGACAAATAGTTTTTAGCAAATTACTTTTTCCTGTATGTATTTATTTTAGTAAAAAGGTTAAAATTCAGGAAAATAAGAGGGGAAAAATTTCAAAGTCCTCATTCCCCACAGTAAATGCCGCTAATATTTTGGTGTTTTTCCTTTCAGCCGTTTGGTTATTCTGCTCATCTAACTTTGTATTTTATTTTTTTCATTGAATTCAATTAACATAATGCTCTAGGATGTCTTTTATGATGATATATAAGTTACGAGTTTAAGACATATTTTTGGAAGATGTAAGATGAGTTATAGAAATGAAAAAGCATTAAACCTGTCTCTCCTGTAGCAACAACAACATTGTTCAAAAGAAAAGATTTTCAAAACTTGTAAATCCCAAACAATAGTTTTCAAATGTAACAACCAAACATTGAATTTGCAAAGGTAGCAAGGAGAAGGAAAAAGAATCCCAGCCAGGCGGGGAGGGGCCTGGAGACTCACTGGGGTCTCAGGCTGCACTCTGAGTCCCTGGCCTGTTTTCAGGCCACACCAGCTCCTTGCTCACCTGGGCACACCTTCTCTGTGCTGCTACTGCCAGGCCCCAGGAATGTGGCAGAGGGCTGGGCAGAAATGCCTGGCCCATCGCCCCTGCTTCTAGAATCTGTTGATATCAGCATAGCAAGGGCTTTAATCCAGCCTCTCACTAACAGATAAGAATGCTGAGGTCTAGAGAAGTGAAATAACTCCACAGATTGCTGGGGGGTGTGGGGGGCTGGCTGT